CTCCCCACCCCCAGGACCCCCCCCCCAGCGCCCCCTCCTCACCCCCTGGACCCCCCCCAGGACCCCTCCCCACCATTCCCAGCCCCTTCCCCACCCCCAGGGACCCCCCCAGCCCCCTCCCCACCGTTCCGCACCTCGGGGCTGCCCCCCCCGGGGGTCGCCGCTCTCGGAGCCGCTCTCGGGGCCGGAGTCTCCCCCCGGGGGGGGGTCCCGGGGGTCCTGGGGGGGGTCCCGGGGGTCCGTGGCCACCGGGGACCCCGGGAAGGCCACTGACGTCACAGCTGGGGACAGCGGGGGGGGGGTCACAGGGGGACAATTTCGGGGGTCCCCGAGCCCAATTTGGGGGTCCCTGTGCCCATTTCGGGGGTCCCTGTCCCCATTTTGGGGGTCCCTGTGCCCATTTCGGGGTCCCCCTCCCACATTTTGGGGGTCCCTGTCCCCATTTTTGAAGGTCCCCTCCCCATTTTGGGGGGTCCCGTTCCCATTTTCAGGGGTCCCCAAGCCCATTTTGGGGGTCTCCGTCCCACATTTTGGGGTCCCTGTCCCCATTTTTGGGGTCCCCGAGCGCATTTTTGGGGTCCCCCTCCCACATTTTGGGGGTCCCTGTCCCCATTTTTGAAGGTCCCCTCCCCATTTTGGGGGGTCCCGTTCCCATTTTCAGGGGTCCCCAAGCCCATTTTGGGGTGCCTGAGCCCATTTTTGGGGTCCTTATGCCCATTTCGGGGGTCTCCGTCCCACATTTTGGGGTCCCTGTCCCCATTTTTGGGGTCCCCGAGCGCATTTTTGGGGTCCCCCTCCCACATTTTGGGGTCCCTGAGCCCATTTTGGGGTCCCCCTCCCACATTTTGGGGTCCCTGAGCCCATTTTGGGGTCCCCCTCCCACATTTTGGGGTCCCTGAGCCCATTTTGGGGTCCCCCTCCCACATTTTGGGGTCCCCGATTCCATTTTTGGAGTTCCCGAGCCAAATTTTGGGGTCCCTGAGCCCCCCTACCTTTGCCCAGGTGCGCCGAGGTGCTGAGATCACCTGGGGGAGGGGCAGGGGGGAGGGGTCAGGGGGATTTGGGGGTCCCCGGGAAGATTTTGGGGCGTTCCCGGGAAGGTTTTGGGGGTCCCAGGGGGGATTTGGGGGATCCCGGGGAGGATTTTGGGGTGTTTTGGGGGTTCCCGGGAAGATTTTTGGGTGTTTTTGGGGTCCCGGGGCGATTTTGGGGGTCCCCGGGGGGGATTTGGGGGTTCCCGTGAAGATTTTGGGGGTCCCCGGGAAGATTTTTGGGGGTCCCAGGGGGGATTTGGGGGTTCCGGAGGGGGTTTTGGGGGTTCCCGGGAAGGTTTTGGGGTGTCCCCGGGGAGGATTTTGGGGTTTCCGAGAGGGTTTTGGGGAATTTGGGGGTTCCCGGGAAAGTTTTGGGGAATTTGGGGAGGATTTGGGGGCACCTGGGGGAGATTTGGGGGTCCCAGGGGGGATTTTGGGGGATCCCGGGAAGATTTTGGTTTTTTTGGGGGTCCCAAGGGGGGGTTTGGGCGTTCCCGGGGAGGATTTTTGGGGAGATTCCCGGGAAGATTTTGGGGTGTTTTGGGGGTTCCCGGGAAGTTTTTGGGGTCCCGGGGGGGATTTGGGGGTCCCCGGGAAGATTTTGGGGGTGGTTTTGGGGTCTCTGGGGGGATTTGGGGGTCCCCGGGAAGATTTTTGGGGTCCCCGGGGAGGATTTGGGGGTTCCTGTGGGGTTTTTGGGGGTTCCCGTGAAGATTTTGATATTTTGGGGGGGTCCCCACGCCCCTCCCCCACTCACTCTCTCCCGACGCCTCCAGCCTGGCGGGCTCTGTGTGGGGGAGGGGACAATGATGGGGGGGGGGGGGGCAAAGGGGGGGGGGGGGGTGTGTCACCAAAATGTCCCCAAGGTCCCCAAAACCCCCCCGAGACCCCTCCCCAAATTCCCCCAGACCCCTCCCCCTTTTACCTGGGCTCTGTCCCGACACCGCCACATCCGGGGGCTCTGCGGGGACACCGAGGTGACACCGAGGGGACACCGGGGGACGGCAGGGGACACCCAGGGGACACCCAGGGGACACACCGGGACACCCCGGGGACACCCAGGGGACACCGAGGGACAGCAGGGGACACCCAGGGGACACCCAGGGGACACACCGGGACACCCCGGGGACACCCAGGGGACACCGAGGGACAGCAGGGGACACCCAGGGGACACCCAGGGGACACACCGGGACACCCCGGGGACACCCAGGGGACACCGAGGGACAGCAGGGGACACCCAGGGGACACCCAGGGGACACACCGGGACACCCCGGGGACACCCAGGGGACACCGAGGGACAGCAGGGGACACCCAGGGGACACCCAGGGGACACACCGGGACACCCCGGGGACACCCAGGGGACACCGAGGGACAGCAGGGGACACCCAGGGGACACCCAGGGGACACACCGGGACACCCCGGGGACACCCAGGGGACACCGAGGGACAGCAGGGGACACCCAGGGGACACCCAGGGGACACACCGGGACACCCCGGGGACACCCAGGGGACACCGAGGGACAGCAGGGGACACCCAGGGGACACCCAGACCCCCCCCCCGTG